GGTGGTAACACCAAAGCAAACTAACTCCATTGTCCAATGTCACAGATGTCAAGAGTTTGGGCACACGAAAAGTTATTGTAACAAATCTTATGCTTGCGTTAAATGCGGCTCTAATCACAATACTACCGAATRTACCAAAGACAGAAATGCTCCTGCCAAATGTGCAAACTGCCAGCACGAACATCCAGCTAACTATCGCGGGTGTCAAGTACACCAGTCACTGAAAACCAAATATAATGCTAGCAAAGCACGCACGATGGAGAGTCCGCTTGTTTATAATGCCACAGATTCCACAAATTTGCAAAAACAAAATTAATTTTTCAACAGCAAAACAAACAACATGGCCTCGTATGGTGATGCTGTTAAAACAACTAACAATGATAAATTTTTAGAAAAAATTGAGCAAATAATTAACGCTCAGACTGCTCAGATAAATAATTTATTAGCAATAATCAATGGTTTATTGAATAAAGTATGCAACTAAACCTAAGAATAGCAATTTGGAATGTAAACGGTATTGTCAACCATATTAACGAAATCGAAAAATTTCTTAACAATAATTGTATAGATGTATTTTTAGTTTCCGAAACTCATTTTTCACAAAGATCATTTTTTAAAATTAGAGGAATTATTGTAACCACCCTGGGAGTAGAGCCTGAGGCGGGTCGCCGGTGATTATTAACTCAAAAATTAAATATGAACCATTGAAAGAAGTTTGTTCACCTTCGATGCAAATTTCACGCTCAATAGCTATTGGCGCTGGATACTTTCCACCCAGGCACACAATCAGTTGCATAGAATATGAAAATATGTTTAGCGAATTCGGCTCGACATTCTTACTCGGAGGAGACTTTAACGCCAAGCACCCTTGGTGGGGCTCTCGCTTAAATAATCCGAAAGGTAACGAACTATTTAAATGCATTATGAATAGGAATTTATCAGTTCTCTCGACCGGTATGCCTACCTACTGGCCATTTGATCCCACTAAAGTTCCGGATCTATTAGATTTTTTTGTGTACTCAAGCCTCTCTAGTAATTTGCTAAAAATTGAAGAAAAATTTGAACTAAGCTCTGATCACTCACCCTTAACTGCGGTACTCCAACCATCACCTATAATCCTTCAAAGTAAACTAAAAATTCTGACTCCACGTACTAATATTCCATCATCTTCTTACTGCTTAGACAATAATATTGATCTTAGTGTTAACTTAAGAACCACCGACCAATTAGACGGCTTTGTTGAAAAATTTAACAACGCCATTGTAGAAGCAGGTTTTATCTCAACTCCACAAGATATTTTTGTAAACAGTACCTTTATCCCTGCGGAAATCAAAACCCTAATAAAGGAAAAAAGATCGTTGAGGAAAATATGGCAAAGGACCCACAATCCAAGTGACACATTAATTTTAGACAGAGCTACTAAATATTTAAAAACAAGGCTTAAACAGTTAAAAAACAACTCCCTTGAAACCTTTTTAACCAACCTTAGCCCTAACGCAACTCGCTCTGAATGTCTGTATGTCTGTGGAATGCCACAAAATTTCTCAAACGCCCAAAAGTCAGAAAGGTTCCAATAAAATACTCCAGCAATTCATGGTATCGGTCAGATGAGGATAAAGCACAGGCGTTTGCTAAGTACTTAAATGAAGTATTCACACCATTTATTTTTATTAATGCTTCTGATGAAAGGGAAGTGATGCACTTTTTGGATATTCCATGACAAATGGATTTTCCAATGACGCGTATTATTTTATCAGAAGGGAAAGAGGAACTGGCAAAATGTAGCAACAAAAAAAGCCAGGCTACGATCAGATAGACCACGCAGTACTAAAGCACCTAACTGAGAAGTTCTTGCGAACTCTTCCAATTATATTCAATGCCATACTAAGGCTTCAGCACTTTCGTACAGCCTGGAAATGTGCAGAATAATTATGATTGCTAAACCAAAAAAAACCCTGAAATCTTAGTTAGTTCGTATCGTCCCATTAGTCTACTTTCTCAAAGATATTCGAAAGAATTCTCTTACGAAGACTGATACCGGTATTGGAAAATTTAAATATAATTCCGGACCAACAGTACGGGTTTCGCAGACACCACGGAACTCCTGAACAATGCCATAGAGTGTTTAATAAAATAAGGTCAGCTTTAGAGCAAAAAGAATATTGTTCATGTGTATTCCTTGATGTACAACAAGCATTCGATAAAGTCTGGCACCCCGGACTGCTTTACAAATTAAAGAAAAATTTACCTGCTCCCTTTTTCTTTCTTGTTAAATCTTATTTAAAAGATACACAATTTTATGTTAGGGTTGGAAATGGATACTCAAGTATGTATAAAATGAAATCAGGCGTCCCACAGGGAAGTGTTTTAGGGCCAATTCTTTATTCGATATTCACAGCGGATATCCCAAAAAAACAACGATGTTACGATAGCAATATTCGCTGATGACACTGCAGTCGTAACTTCAAATAAAGTGCCTTCAGAATCTTCTGACATACTACAAAATTACTTATTCCAACTAGAAGACTGGCTCAAGATGTGGAACATTAAAGTCAATTCAGATAAATCTGTCCATGTTACTTTTGCCCTAAGAAAAGGTGATTGTCCTTCAATCAATATTTTTAATACAGCCATACCTGTTAGCGATCATGTGAAATACCTGGGGGTACGCATAGATAGAAGGCTTACCTGGAAATATCATGTAAAAGCGAAAATAGAACAAATTAATATAAAATTGAGAAGTCTTTATTGGCTTCTGGGTAAAAAATCTGTTCTTTCTCTTAAAATAAACTGCTACTTTATAAAACCATCATCAAACCTATTTGGACTTATGCGATACAAATATGGGGCACGGCAAGCAATTCAAATATTGAAATAATACAGCGCGTTCAATCAAAAACTCTCAGGTCAATTACAAAAGCTCCATGGTATGTTTCAAATCATACTATTCACAGAGATTTAAAAATATGCAAAGTGAAAGATGAAATAAACAAGTTTAGTGAAAGATAGAAAATCAGGTTCGAGATCCATCCCAATCCTTTAGCAGTGGCATTACTACAGTCACCCACTACAACAAGGTTATAAAGACATTTTAAACTTGTAAGCCAGCACGCATGCATGTAATGTAAATACATAACTTTAGCACAAACTAGTGTATGATTATGTTATTTTAATATTATTATGTTATTTAATATAAATAAAATAGCAAATAATTATGTAAATTAGTATGAATGTAGTTTGGATTTTTATTTTTATTATACTGTCACTAAACAGAGGGTAACTTAATGAAGTAACACTCACAATTTGTTTGTACCTTACCAGCACATTTAATTATTGTCTATTAACATTGAGACAGATTGTAAATTTAACTTGAATAAAAAAAAAATTATAATAAAAATAAGTAAATAATAATAATAATTGTACTTATTAGTATTATTACTATGTGGCGATGAGGCACTTATGCCTTAATATACACTTTTCTGATACTTTAGCTCTTCTATTTCTTTAATATTCCTAAAATGATTCAGTATAATATCGTCAAAGTTTATATTTGACTCATAGCTTTGGTTCAAAATTTTAACAGAATGTATCAGTTTATCAATAAATTTAGTTTTTTTTGTTACTAAATTTTTCTTCATTAATTTTAATTTCACATTTCGCAAAATTTATTGTATAATTATTGTTCACGCCTATCTGGCATCATCTTTCTAAACACACGTTTGAAGCTTCATGGGCAGCACTTATGTGCTTGCTGTCAAACCAGTTTCCGTTTGATCCACGGTATATATGAGGTTTTATCTCTCTCTTCAATAAAGGAATTCGACCGGACCGAATAGCACGCCTTTTATTTCAATCCGCATAAATATAATTCATCTTCCGCGAACGCTATTAAACATCAACATATTATGGTTCTTCGAGCCGGATATCATCGCATATTAATGATATTCCGCAAAATCGCTATTATTTTCAATATTTTTCCGCATTTTTAATATTAATCATATCATCGGCTAAAATTCGCGACACCGCGCTAAATGCTATGAAACGCTATTTGAAATCTAGCAAAGTCGATGCCCTGCCGTTAGACAAACTACTTACCTCCAATTGTTGGAGGAGCAATGGATTCGGTTTTGCGTAGCACAAAAAGAGGTGGAACTCACATGTGGCGACGAGACCGTTTCTATGGAGGAGCAGGCCGGGATACAAGGTGAGGAGTGGTACAGCACCGCCAAAGCTAACTTGAAACGCCTGTGCGTAGCTCAAAGGCAGCAGACATCGCAAACCACCGTTCTGATTCAACTGCTCCTGTACCACTTCCAAAGCTACTGTTGCCGTCATTTAGTGGTGATCCCACTCAATGGCTTCCTTTTCATGATGCTTTTTGCTCACTCAGTCATACGAAAGTCAAGATTTGTCGGACGGACAAAAATTACACTATTTACGAAACTGTTTGAATGGGGAAGCATTCGATTTGGTGAGTAGCTTAGCAGTATAAGGTCATGAGTGTCATGGTGGACAGCCACATCAAAGCACTCATGGCAATTGGAAGTGCAGCCAAGGATACTGCTAAGGGAATAAAGCAAGTGCTAAATTCTGTACTTCAACAGGTTGTGCTCTACGTGCACTTGAACGACCAGTCGAATTCTGGGATGACTGGCTTGTTCACCTAACCGTTTCAAAGTTAGCACAAGTAACCCGCAGTAATGGGAGTTATCGCTCGTTATGGACGATCTACCATCTTTCTCCGTTCTTCAAGAATTTCTTGAAAACCGCGCACGCTCACTGGATATGGTACCATTACTCAACACTACCAAAAAGACAACAACAACAAAAAAGAATGTTTTCCTTACGACATTTACAGAGCCAGAAGTAAATATCGATACATCAACCGCTACTAAGGGGCCGCTGTCATCCGTTCACGTCACCGGGATTAGGTCACTGCAAGGAGGCATTGCAAAGTGAGAAGTTACATTCTTCATATCAACGCGAACGCTTGATACTAAATGTTACCGAAAATTACTATCGATCTTCCAATCTCCGCTTTACCGACGACTTCTTGGCCGCATCTTACGGATTTGCCACTAGCCGACCGCTATTATTCCCAGCCCAGACCAATAGACATTTTGATTGGAATGGATGAAATGGACAAATTTCTACTACACGGACTCCGTAAGGGTGAACGGGGTATACAAATGGCACAAAATACTGTATTAGGATGGGTACTGTTTGGCAACGCTGCCAATTTACAAAACCCACCGGTGAACAGTTCGACTTTACATTCCGATCTTCATTTAACTCAACTCATCCTCAAGTTTTGGAATCTCGAAGAACTACCCGCCCCCAAATTCTTTTCACCTGAAGAATCTATGTGTGAGAAACTATACGACGATACGACCGAACGTGCATCGGATGGTCGCTACATCGTACGCTTACCTTTGAAGAAGAACGTATTGTTAGGGGAATCACAAGAAGCAGCTATTCGAGCATTACTCCGAATGGAAAGAAGATTTGTAGCTAACGAACAACTTCGCAAAGAGTATACGAATACTATGTTTACGGATGAACTCACCTCTATGGGACACATGGAACCAGCTGAGACGACAACAGATAAACTTTACTATATGCCACATCATGCGGTGGTAAAGACCACAATTGAAACAACGAAACTTCGAGTCGTTTTCGACGCATCTATGAAGTCAACCTTTGAGAATTCTTTAAACGGTACCCCCATGTTAGGCCCACAGCTACAACAAGATCTATTTTCTATTTTGGTTCGCTTTCGCACTCACCGTTTCGGAATCATAGCCGATATCGAAAAGATGTACCGCCAAGTTTATGTCGCTAAAGAGGACACAGATTATCAACGCATAGTTTGGCGTTCCAATCCAGCAGATCCGGTTCGTGATTATCGTCTTTTAAGGGTCACGTATTAAGTCGCCTCAGCACCACATCTTGCTGTTAAGTCTCTACATCGAGCCGCACTTAACGCGTCAAACGCAAGCAAGGAAGTCATTGAAGTTATAAGGTCAGACTTTTATATGGATGACTTACTATCTGGTGCTGATACATTTGATGAGCCCGCTTTACTTCAAAAGAACGTCTCCCACGCGCTCTCTGAAAGTGGAAATGAGGAACTAATTCTCAAATGCTTAGAGATATGATACCACACGTATCTAAACAAGTTTCGCATCTCTTAGCCGATGGAGACCAAATCCGCACTCTTGGTACCATATGGCACACAAACAGCGATTGGCTTTCTATAGCAGTGAGTTTTAACGACCTGCCTCCTAAACTTACAAAAAGAACGTTTCTCTTCGACACAAGTAAGGTATTCGATCCACTGGGTTTGATCGCGCCCTATATAATCCGCTCTAAGATTTGGTTACAGAAGCTTGGGCGCTCAAATGTGGATTGAGATGAACCAGTTCTTTCAGAAAGGGACTGGTTGGCACATCGTCGTGAATTACCGCAACTATCAGCGCTAACCCTAAGCCGCTGGTTAGGAACTAGCAAAACTTCTGACTCTCAGTATCACATTTTTACCGACGCATCAGAAGTCGCATACGCTGCCGCACTTTACTGCCGCACACAATTTCCGGACGGTACGATTAAGGTCGTACTAGTAGCAGCGAAAACAAGAGTAGTGGCTATGAAAACTATTTCGTTAGGACGACTCGAGCTTTGTGAAGCTGATTTGGGAGCAAAGTTAGTGAAGCAAGTTCAATCAAATCTGAACCACACCTTCTCAAAATTATATGCATGGACGGACTCAATAATTTCCTTAGCGTGGTTACAAGGCAATCGTAGCCGTCGGTCAGTATTTGTGGGCAATCGCGTCGCTGCAGTACAAGATGTTCTACCAGCAACGCACTGGAGGCACGTTGCGTCAGAGCACAATCCCGCTGATTGCGCTGCAAGGGGCATATTAGCATCGCAGCTTTCACACATCAACCTTGGTGGCATGGTCCGGAATAGCTACATGAGAACAACAGTAGCTGGCCGTTTTCTGCAGAATCACACACTACAGATCTCGAGCAAAAATCTAGCAAGGCTGTAACACTGCTGACGCTGACGGTTGGGAATTTTTGACGAAGTATCATTCATTCGGCAAACTTAAACGCATCACCGCTTATTTATTACGCTGCATCAATAACACAAGGGCTAACGCCATTGTACGACAATTCGGCAGCATTGGTAAAGTATGTATACTCAATTTATTGTTTTTAAAAAGGAAATTTCTAATTGCAGAAAAAATAAGCTAATACATAAACGAAGCAGTCTAGCAAGACTACAACCTTTTCTAGACGCAAATGGTATCCTACGAGTAGGAGGCCGCATCAAAAACCCACCGCTTTCAGATTCTGTTAAACATCCTATAATAGTGCCGAAAAAATCACCGCTCGCTAAAATAATCGTAGCAGAAGTACACTTGCCTGCGTAACTCTGCGTACAGCGCTAAAAAATTCGAAAACTTAACTTTAACTCGAATGTCTCACGAAATATGATACGTTTTCAGAAACTTTTGAATTTCTTTTATATAAAAAATATATACTCGTATATTGCATAAACATAGCTTTTTAGAACCATAATACATACATCTCCATTTTAACGGGAATTATTCGTCGACATCATGAAAATTCATGCACGCAAAACTCTGCGTACAGCAGCACAAGGATAGCAATTTACGACTACCGTTAGTTTAGCTTTTTTCTCAGTCACTTGTGCGACTTTAGAATAACTATTTTATTGTGTTTCAAGCGATTGCAGAAGTAAGATCATTTTAAAACAGCCATGGAAAAAAAGGCAAGGAAATTGGAACTAATGAAAGAAGAATTATCGTAAAACTACATGTTGAGGGTAAAACGTTAAGGGAAATGGGAAAAATAGTAGGCCGAACTCATTCATCGGTATATAAGGTGGTAACTAATTACATTTCAACTGGATTCATCTTATCAAAACCACGTGCTGGTCGACCAACTCTTTTAACAAACCTCGAAAACAAGCGTGTCGTACAACTAGTTCAGCAGAATCTAAGGATGACTGCTCATGAACTGAAACTAGAGGTGGAGCAAAGGTTCTGAAGATACAATCCGTAGAATTAAAAAAAAAACTGGATACGATAGCCGAGTAGCCCGTAAGAATCCAGATATTTCGGAGATAAATAGGCAGAAGCGCATGGATTTTGCAAATGAATACGATTAAAAACCCCCAGAATTTTGGAATAGTATTATTTTTACGGATGAGAGCAAGTTTTGCATCTTTGTGATAAAAGGTAAGAAATTGGTATGGAGAAAAACGGAAAAGGCGTATGAAAAAGAGAATATGGTACCAAGTGTAAAACATGGTCGAAGCGGTGTTATTATTTGGGCCTGTATGGCAGCTAACGATGTTGGAAAACTTACATTTATTGGCTCCATAATGGACCAGAGGTTATATATACAAATTTTGAAAGATAATCTTCTGCAAAGTGTCCTGCAACTGGGGATGGAACAAGATTTTCGGTTCCAACAAGATAACGACCTCAAATATACTGCGCAAAATGTCAAGCTCTGGCTTTGCACAATGTCAAAAACCAGTTGCGAACGCTTCCTCAATCTGCAGACCTAAATCCAATTGAGCATTTGTGGGACTTGCTTGAGCGTAGAATTCGAAAAAACGCCATAACATCAGAAAATATGCTCAAGGACATTATAATGCAGGAATGGGGAAAAATTGCGCCAGAAGATACAGCGAAACTTGTGGATTGAAGTATTAAAGAGAAAAGGATAACAAACTAGATATTAGAGAGTCGTAGGACATTAATTTCTTTAATAATACCTTTCTGTACGCAGACTTTTGCAGTTGCTTTGTTTCATAGTGTTTTCGAATAAAATGAATTTAAACTATAATTATCTGAATAAAATAAAATTTATATTGTTATTTACTTACTGAAATCAATAAATAATGAATTGAAATCAAGCTTGGTTAGATACGTGTCAGATTTCCTGAGAAATTCGCGATTAAAGTTAGTTTTTCGAGTTTTTTAGCGCTGTACGCAGAGTTATGCAGTAGATGACTCTGGCCCTTACGACGTGAAGTTTACACATGGAAGAGGTGCAAAATCTATGCTCATTTATTTGCATGAGTACTGGTGCAATGTATCTCGAACTTGCTGGAGACTTTTCTTCAATAGCTTTCATAGCTGTTTCTAAACGTTTTACTAACCGGAGAGGGTACTGTCAGCACATTTACTCTGACAACGGCACTAATTTCGTGGGTGCTGAAAAGGAATTGCGATTAGCCTAAGAATCATGATATTTCGCAAACGCCCAAATATTTTGGCATTTCAATCCTCCAAACGTCCCTCACATGGGTGGCTTCTGGGAGGCTGTTATAAAACGTATCAAATATCATCTTAAGCGGGTCTTAGATACTTCGCTTCTAACTTACGAAGAATTTGCAACAGTACTGACTGAAGTTGAAGCCTGTGTAAGCTCGCGTCCTATTTGATTCATTCCTACAAATGTAAATGACTTTGAAGTCCTCACTCCTGGACACTTCATGATTGGCGAACCGCTAAAGGGACTTCAAGACCCTGACGTTGAGGTCTTCAAGGGAACTATATTTCAACGTTGGCAAATCATTGTGGCAATTAGACAACACTTCTGGAATCAATGGCGAGACGAGTATCTTGTAAGTCTTCAACGTCGTTCGAAATGGATACGTTCAACGCTGAATTTGCAGAAAGATGATATCGTTATCATACTTGAAGGCAACGCCCCCCAACTGAATGGAAGCTTGGCCGTGTTATTGGCACTTCCCCAGGGACTGATGGTCAACTGCGGGTTGTAAATTTGAAGACATCCGAAGGGGAGTAAGAGCCGTGATCAAGTTATCGCTACTACCAACAAAGGGGGACATATTTTCTATATGATATTCTGTTGTTCAAGGCGGCCGGTATGTTCGCGCCTATCTGGCATCATCTTTCTAAACATATGTTTGAAGCTTCATGGGCTTCATTGCTGTCAAACCAGCTTCCGTTTTATCTCTCTCTTCAATAAAGAAATTCGACCGCATAGCACGCCTTTTATTTCAATCCGCGAACGCTATTAAACATCAACAATTATTTTGTAGTATAAAATTTCTGTCATCACAATTTTGTATAAGTCTCAAATTATTTGCATTCTTGATGATGAAAGTATCATCACTTATTTATTGTATTATTGTAGTATTGTTATATTTAAATTCACAAACGTTAAACGTTAAAAAAATAAATTTTTTAATACAATTTTTTTTGTAATAACGTATTATCTTTATGTTTATAATGTTATTTATTTATTGTTACAATTGTTTCATCCTCTTGAGCTATTTGCAATTTTCGTTTGTTTGGTAGGTTTTTTTAATACAATTTTTTTTAATAACGTATTATCTTTATATTTATAATGTTATTTATTTATTGTTACAATTTTTTCATCCTTTTGAGCTATTTGCAATTTTCATTTGTTTGGTTGAGGCATAATTAATTTTACATATACTTTAAGAAGCTTTTTGGTATTTGAATAGCGAACACAAGTGCTTCATTTTTGAAAGCTATTACTCCTACTTTGGCTAGTTTCATCTTATAAAAATCTATGTCAAAGCTGCCTATTTTCTCTTTAGTTAACATCCCCGGGTGTATTAAATTGTTTTTAGCGGCGGCTATATTATTTTGAATTTCATGTACCTTCCCTTCTATATGTCTTCATTTATTCATTTGATCATTGTAAAGAACCAGTTAAGCTAGCTCTCATCCTCCTTTTGTATCTGATTTAAATATTTTAATATTTTATTCCTGTCATTCTTCCATTTCCTTCACCAAACTTGCTAGCGCTTTCAGGTGTATAATATGTAGTATTATATTTACTTCGTCAACGATTTCTACTTCGTCGAGTTGGATCATAATGTATCGTGCTTC